CAATGGCTGTGAACATTTAAAACTAACACGAGTCTCTATAAGTGTCCAGTTTTAGGGTCTTACACAGAATTATACCAAACAACATGAATCAAACATGCATTTTATTTATTTACACTAAATATCAAAAGTACATCAAATCGGATTGAAGCTAAGGGCATACAAAACTGTCTAACATGTACATGAGGGTGTTGAGGGTTAAAATAAAATAAATATAAAAAAAAGCAATATGATGCATTTCTTGGGCAATCTCCATTGTTGTCTACTACATTGGGAGACAACAGGGTTTACTTCTGAGTTGGTGCTTGAAATGAGGAGTCTAGAGAGGAGCCCCATGAGGTCTCTAGAAATGAGGAGTCTAGAGTTGGTGCTTGAACTTCACCGATGCCAAAAGGGTTTATGGCTGCAATTCTAGGCCCAATTGGTCAAAGGAACTGGAGCTCAGGGCACCTATACCATGACTCTCACGGTTATTATTGTTTGGGTGCTTTGCATCTCCCAAAGGACCCAACCCACTCACTATCCCTTGTCTGTTCATGTATCACACATTCGTTGTCGATGCCACCACCGTGGGCAATGGTCGAAGTAGTTGGTAACAAGGTTCAAAGTATTGATTTGTATCGGCTGATACATATCATGCCGGTGGCTTCCTGATACGCCCTTACAGGGGTGTATCGGGGTTCTGACCGGTTCAGGGGGTGGAGGAGCCTTAAACCGGCCCCCCTGAATCGGTTTTGAAAAAAATAAAAAAGGCAAAAAAACACTATTGATATCGCCCGATACGGCCCTACCGATGTATCGGGCGTATTGATATTTTGATCCTTGGCTGGCAATTGGACATGATCTGATTTTCTAGGAGTTCCATATCCATGAGGCACCTAGAAGTTTTTTGTGACAAAGGGTATTCTAGGGATTTTTGAAAAATATATCAGTTATATGATGTCAATGTGAACGGTTTATGATGGAGAGGTAATGGTAGGGTAGGTTTTAGACGATTGTCAGAAATAGTAGGTACTATAAGACAATATGTAAACAGTAAGAGTAGAATTCGACAATTAGCTAAATCATAAAGGTAGTTTAAGAAATTTGCCCAAAATTTTATTATTAAAGGGGCATTTTTGTTCCATTCAAGTGTTAGTGGCTTTCCCCTTGGGTGGAAAAGTTATTGACCCACTTAGGAGATGAGTATCACTTACCCGGGTTGGTGATACCTAGGAAAACAAACTTTCCCCAGTCCCCACATAAATCTGAAAAAAGAATACGAATTTCTTGGTCAATGAGTATCACTTACCCGGGTTGACCAATTTTTCCCTTTCAAAATCCAAAAAAAAGAACGCCCCCTTATATGACCTGAAAATTAGAGTGGCTGGGGATGTTAATATAATAATTAAATAATCATTCTCTTAAATTAATTTTGTCGTAGATGTGGATTTTCATTTGGATGCTCTTAACAAGTATCTAGGTATGCCAATAGTGCTTTTCTTGCAAGTTGCAAAGGACTTATGAGCATCTGTCTAACCTATTCTTGTGATGATGTGATTTAATTTTTTTTACTGCTAAATAGTTTATATGTGCTATTGATGGCAGTTTCTTTTCCTTGACATCTCCCTCCACTGCGTGCCAGGAATTTTCTTAAATTTTGAAGGCTATGGCAGTCAATATGTATGAAAGTATGATGGGTTGGTTGGAATTGACCCGTCCTGATTGATATTCTATCGGTACCGGATTTTAATCTAGATTTCGCAGTGCCACGGATGCCTCCACCACAGGAACAGTGCCCTTAAAATTCCTAACTCAAAACAGATTTATCAGGCATCTATGATGCACGAGGATGTTCATGTTACATGCTTGCTTTAAGAGGGATGAGGAAATAAGCTTGGGAATTGGGAAATCAATCAAGGAAACTGGAAATGAAAAATGTTTAAGAGATTAACAAGATTTATTAATGAATAAAGAATTCTCAGGATTCACCTACTTCTCAGACATCTGTTTTGGTGGAGGCAGTCATGCCTCTGGAGTGATGATGTGTTACCTTCGGTATTGCTCAACTGTCCTTTTTATTACGTTTCTTTTAATATCTGGTCTCTTGTACTACCAGTGCATATAAATGGAGGCCCAGAGGGTGTTTGGCATTTCCTTATTTATCTGCCGCTGCAATAATTAGTCACATCAGTGTTTTTCCTTTGCTTTTGTATCCATTGAAGTATCGTTCGGGTTGTGGCAAATTGAGAAACGAAAAAGCAAAATCACTAATTGGGCATTGAGCATGCACTCACTGGTCTCCACAATTGTTGGAGATGGAAGCAAAACAACATAACAAACTAATTGGGGTTGTGTTTGGTAGCATTGCTATTTATTTTTACCTGAAGTGTTTTGGGTTGATCAACACAAATTGATGAAAAATATGTATAGTTATGGTCACATCACATATGAGAATCACTTCAACTAGAAGAGATGAAATGTGGGACCTAAGTAGAAACAAAAATTTGTATTGATCAACCCAAAACGTTTAGGGTAGAAAAAAAAAATCTCAGATTTTATTAAACCCGAAAATGTTTCAGGTAAAAATAGCAATTTATATTGGTCAACCCAAAACTTCTCACAAATTTGCATTGAACAATCCAAAACATTTGAGGTAGAAACAGCAATAGTACCAAACACAACCTGGATATTAAATTCCCAGTTCCCATACACCATGCTTAGAGTTAGAAGATAACAATTCGTGATCAAGTCCCATTGTCCTAAAGTATGTCATTCACTACTCATCTTTTCTCATTTTTCTTTACTGAGCATGTGTTGCTGGTTGACCATGTTTAGATGACTTGTTGAATCAAATGCAGACAATTCAGGTATAGTTTCATTTAGGGCAGATACATGATTAAAGTGCTTTATGTTCAAGCAAAGCTTTGTCTTTGCATGGGAAATGAGCGGAGTTCCTTGTGAACTAAATCTAAACTCAGGTCCACTAAAATGGCTTCTCAGAAAATTACTGTCTTCAATCTGTTGATAATTCAATGATTTGAACTAAAAATGTAACAGGTGAAGTCCTTTAGCCCCAGCACGGTCATTTTCTCAGCTTCTCTTTCATTCTTTCAACTACAGTCCTCAGAGTGTCCTCATCTTTGCAGAAGGTGAACCTTACCAGATTCTTTCCATCTTCTGGGTTGAGATAGATAGAAGACACTAGTTGGGATTGCTACCATACCCACTTCCTTAATCAGATACTCACAGAAAGCAATATCATTTTCCAATCCAAAAGGAAGTGTGATCTACCACTACAAAGTAGATGGGAATACCTTAAAACGGACAGCCTTCAGTCCCTCCACCAATATGGCCTTCTTTTCCATATAATCCCTTTTAAGTTCCTCATAATAAGAATCAGGGGCTTGAAGACTGCATTGGAGTTGAGGTGGCAAAGGTGAGGAAAGAGTGCGCCTGCCTCACTCCCCATGTCAAATGTGGTGGAGCTATTGCCCATCCAATCTTCCACCCTGTTAAGGAGAATGTTTTCCCCAAAGAATTCAGAGTGACAGTTCTCTCATACATGCCTGGAAGTGAAGCCATAGAAATGTGATCAGCTTCAAATGCCAACTTGTCATAAACTTCATCTGTAAAGACCAGGACATCATTCTCAATGCAAAGAGATGCAATCACATTGAGCTCCTCTCTAGTGAAGTGAACATCTTTCCTGTGGGGTTATGTGGAGTGTTTATCATTATTGCACGAGTGTCCCTTGAGATTGTAGCCTTAAGCTCGGTAATTGGGACTGAAAATCTGGAGGTCAGAGTGTGATGGCTTTTATTTTGGCTCCAGCCATTGAGAGAGTGGCTTCATAAGAATCATAAAATGGAGCAAAAAGGATCACCTCATCAAAGAAGACTGCAACTTTAAGTTATTGAGTCATCGAGCATCCAAGAGGGTAGCTCAATCACTGTCTTTCAACAGCTCATGCAAGATCTTGCAAAGAAAAACTAAACTTGAAATGAAAAGTTTGAATCCCTAACATTTAATAAAAAGAAACCATTTTATAATTTTCATACCCTCACTTCAGATTCTGCTTCCCCCTTCTTTCTGCTTTTTTTGGTCTCTGCAGCTCCCTGTTGCTGCTGTTCAGCTTTTCTCTGAGCTCGAATCATTGCTCGCCTTGCACGAGGCCGCATCTCTCGTACCTTCCGAGGAGGCATCACATAAGGTTCAAGGGGACGATCACCAAAAGGGTGCTCACTGCTAGCAAATATCCTCAATTTTCGATCTCTATCCTGCATTCACACAAATCACTCAAGCGCAGGGTTACGAGTTACTTTGGCAACACTTTACGAGATGGACTTCCCAACAATAAGTGCTGAAGGCAAATTGGAATATGTTTAAAGCCACAATAACTCATCTATCTACAAGCAGAAATCAGTCCTTACAAGAAAATGCTCTTCACCCTTCATTAATTAATTACAATCCATGTCCCAACATTTGAAAAAGGGCAAGTCATTGAGAAAACACACTGCATATAGCTGATCAACAAAAACAATACAAGATAAGAGAAATAACTGATCCCTGCACCTGGCACCTCTGTTGTACAACAGCTATACATACACCTTGTTTGCAAGAGACAGACTTTTCCAGATCATTGACTGATCAAAAACATCCATCTAAATGAGTTGTATAACATACATGCCAACACTACTGCTTCAGGGTACAAGAACCTACCTTAGCAGGCGTCCTATCTCTCACCACTTCGCAGTCACCCATTCCAGCCAGATGATTAGGCTAGTGTCATATCTTGTAGAAGAGAAGAGCTCAACTATGAGTTACCTTCTCTAAAGAGCTTAACTATGAGCTCAACTATGCGACAATAGCTCGTTAGGATAACAGCCATTCCATCTCTAAAGACACCACACTCCCAAAGAGGCAAGGGTTGCCAAAGGCACATCCACTAAAGTTCATCTTCATGATCCCAGTGCTGGAAGTACAATGTATTTGGTTCTTGCTTTCCAAGCCATCCAAGTAAGCAGCTACTCCAGGTCAATAATTCTAGTTTATCATTATCCAAGACTTGTCCCAACTATATGGAGATATGAATCATGTTCGGTCATTCCCTTCTGCTCAGTGCCCATAGTTTTCAGTGCACCAAGGCGAAGCTAGGCGACAGAGGGCGCCTTGTCGCCTAGGCGCCCGCCTAACTGATGGATTTTTTTAAGTAAAAACATGTATCCTAGGGTAGTTCCCTAGGTTCCATAATCATATTTCCTTAATAAATATCCATAATTTTCATAAAAGTATAAACTTCATGTTAAATTATAGAAAATCAAACATATTCATGAGAAGAAAAAGAAGAAAGAAAAGAAAATTAAAAAAAAATAGGGGCTGAACCCCTATATTCGTTATAGGAAAAGAAGAAAAGAAAAGGTGGAAGAAGAAGAAGAAATTAGTATATAAACACACAAAATTAGTACAGAAAAAGAAGAAAATGTGTTGATTGGACATCATTTTATGTTCTTCCTTACTTATTGGTTCAGGTTTTGAAAGTCTTTTGAGGGTTCAATACAGCATTTAGCAATGTTTGTGTTGATTAAACCCTAACAAATAAGAAAATAATAAAAAGAAATTAGTATATAAACACACAAAATGAATATTTTAGTTTAAAAATGTCTATTTTATAATTATAACCTCGAAAAATTAAGAACATAAAAGTATTTTATAACATGCTATAGAAAACTGCTTGGCAATTAGGCAAGGCGAGCCTCCAAAGGCGCATTGCCGCCTAGGCGTTGCCTTGACAACTATGTCAGTGCCATAACTCAATAGTCAGTAATTCTAATTCAGTGTCACAAAGTCATTTACAAATTACAATTTTAAGAGCATTGAAGTTTTTCCTTGCAAGTACACATAATTCAGCAACAAGACACCAAGAATCTTCATATTTCTTTTTCTTCTAATTATTTATAATACTCTGACACAATAGATATAAAGTAGGAAGCAAAAAAAATGTAAACCTGATTTATTTTCTTACCAAAATATCTTGACAAAATTATTAAATTCCAAATAATTCTGAAAACCAGACAAGATAATAATATGGAACAGTGACAAAGACAAGTCTTATCCTACACAACACTTTGCAGGTAAAATCAAATGTTCACCAGTGATTTATTTTATAAGCAACAGTGGTTCTATAATTTCACTTGGTTTTGTTTTGAAAAAGAAATAGTTTCCATTACCACTTACATCACGTAATTTATTTCGTGGAAGCATCCGTAGGACAGCTTTTTGAATAACTTCAGTAGGATCCTTTGCTAATTGGTCCTTTAAACTCCTTTCCTTGAGGTGGCCAACATACCTACAAGTTAATGATAGATTAATGTTGAGTCAAAGAGACTTTTACATAAAATACTTGATGTCCACAATAAGAACTTTTGTGATCAGTATGTCCACAATAAGAATGATTATATAACCATTGGTACTTGCCCAGTATGCCAACGATAAAACTTATCAGTCAGTTTCCTCCCTGTGACACAGATATCTTTTGCATTGAGCACAATGCACATATCACCATCTTCGCGGTAAGGTGTGTATGTGGGCTTATCCTTGCCTTGAAGCACAGTGGATATTTGGGAAGCCAACCTCCCAAGGACCTATTAGAAAATAGATTGCTGATATTGTTATCTGTTCAGAAATCAAGGAAACAAAACTAGAATATACATATATATTAGAAGCAATAATGGACATAGCAGCAAAATACAAGTCCTTTGATTCCACCAAGCCAAATCAATTTTGAACCCTATCTTATCAAAAACTCCATCAGGTTACAAAATTGCCTAGTTTTCTACCCATTAGCAATCACATGCGGCGCTTATTTTTCCTTCATACAACAGAGTACCATGATCAACATCATCATAACCATTGCCAGCCCAGTGTACATTGCACGCTTCAATCCATTGTAAAAGCAAAGAGAAAGAATGAAATAGAATAAAACCTGACCTTCGGCATCAAATACTCGCCACCGCAAACCTTCCAAATTGATACGCCTCAGGCCAGCAAGTGCTTTCTGCATGACACATGCATTAAAAGAATAAAACAGTATTCTGCATGTGATACGTAGAAGATGAAGTTAAGAAGTAAAATGAAATGACAGTAATACTCTTCAATAGTGACCTTTCAATGGCTTGTGTATATTACCGATCACAAAAAAAGTACATAGAAATCTAACTCATGCATATATAGAGAGAAAAGATGACAAGCACAGCCTAACATGGATCCCAGTGGCATGATATAACAGACGGAAACTGCCACTGGACAAGTCTCACCATAGAGATATTCTAGGTCAAAAGAACCATTCCCTACATTTTTTTGACAAGTAAATTATTTTATTAGACCAAAGAGATAAACTAATAAAGGCATCCCTTGGAGAGATGCAAGTTGTGTCTGCTCCCAACAAAACAAAAAACAAAATCAAACTACAATTGTACCCAAGACCGATACAAAAGTTCCCTACTGCCCCTTGCTTGGTGAGACAGTCAGCCAAAGCATTAGCTGATCTCCCCACTCATTGTATTCTTACGCACAAATTCCTTGTTAGCCACTTGAACTTCTTTACTTCATTCTTAAAACACCAAAATATAGACTCTAGGTTCTGCAGCCAGCTCAGTACCACCTTGGAGTCCCCTTCAATTATTAGTTGTTCCACACCTAGCTGAGTTGCAAACTGTCCACCTTGAAGGGCAGTTAAAAACTCAGCCGCAGTAGAGTCCCCAACTCCTAGAGGACCCAAATAAAAGAATACCACATTTCCAGCCTCTTTGCTCTGGATCCCTCCATCCTAAAGGAACATGGACAGTTTCAAAATTCAGCTTCAAAAAGACTTTAGGAGAGGTGTCCAGCTCGTGCTTATTCTAACCTTTAAAGAGGAACAACTTGCCACTGCTGACCAATTCCTCCAAATATCAAAAAAAGAGATCCAGCCTCATTCCTCAGGACCCCTCCCACCCCAGAGGGCCAGGATTACCTTGACTGCTTCCATCAAAATTCAGCTTCAAAAAACCTTTAGGAGGGGGTATCCAGCTTGTGCTTACCCTAACCTTTAAAGAGGAACAATTTGCCACTGCTGAAAAATTCCTCGAAATATCAATACAGGAGAATTGGCAGAATAAATCCAAGGATTTCAACCAATGAATAACCCTATTCAAGACACAATCCTTAAGATCTTCTTGATTTCTTTCCTTCTTTTGGAATATTCGGGCATTCCTCTCTCCCCAAATTGTCCAATCAGCACTACTCTTGCACACCTCCACATAATTCTTCCTCTTCTTTATTGCCAAGAAAAGGTAGAATGATCAAATAACATGCTTACTTTTTGATAAGTAACGAATCATATTCCATTAATTCAAAAATTGGTTACATGAGAATCCCCTTAGAGAGGCGCAAGGTGCTGCTTCTCCATACAGAAAACACAAAAACTACATCAAAAAGTGCATGACTGTTAAAAAACACAAATTACAATTGCGCTCAAAACAATGTTTCTCTGTTTGTCTTTGCCAAGACATCAGCAAATGCATTAGCTGATCTCCCAACCCACTGTACTTTTACAGACATACCTAGTCAGCCATTTGAATTTCTTTATCTCATTCTTGTAGTCCCGTGTGACATCCTCCGGATTATTTAACTAGTTCACCACTGTCTTAGAGTCCCCTTCAGCCAAAAGCTGCTCCACACTCATTTCTTTTCCAAGAATTATTTCTTGTATTGCAGCTAACAGCTCTGCCTGAATAGAGTTCCCAACACCTCAAGGGCCAGAGTATAGTAAGACAGCCTTTCCAGCCTCATTCCTCAGTACACCTCCCAACCCAGAGAGACCTGGATTGCCCTGGCTACTCCCATCAAAATTCAACTTCAAAGAACCGTGAGGGGGGACCCAGCTTGTCATTACCTTTACCTTGGAGGAGGAACAGCTTGCTACTAATAACCAATCCCTCCAACAGTGAGTAAAGGAGAAATGGTCAAATAAATCCAGAGTCTTTAACCAATGTATTGGCTTATACATAATGAAGTCCTTTAAGGCCTGACTACTCCTCCCCTTTTCCTGGAAGATCCTGACATTCCTTTCTTCCAATCTGTCCATAACAAAGCCGGTTGTGCATACCTCCACATTTCCCTTCCTCTTTTATGGGTCCAATAGAACATAGAAGGGTTAAAGATTGTACTTACTTCTGTTGGCATGTCCCATCTACACCCAAACAATGTTAGAAACCCAGAGATATGAAGTGACACTACAAGATAAAAATAAGTGATAACAGTCCTCAACATGAGATCTACAAGGAGTCCACCAGTTTGGAGAGATACATAGGAAGGGTCTTCTCTTTTGTAGGTTATCCATCGTGCTTACTTTACCATGCCACACTACCCAACACAAAGCCATAACCTTGGGGGGAACCGGCCTACACCAGACTTCTTTGGAAGGGAAACTTTGTTGAGAGGAGGTTTGGCACGGGAATTTAAAAAATGAACCTCAAGAAAAAGGCTCATTGGGGTGAATGGTCCAAATCCTCTTATCAGGCTTTGAAGAATCCAACCAAACCTTATCGAGGAGACCAAGAAGAGTAGACAAACAATCAACCTCATCCTCCCTTAACCCTCTACGAAAACCAAAATCCCAAGACAATGATGACAAATTTAAAATTGAAGAAAGGAATTTTGAAATCACCTCTTTTTTAAACAAAGAAACAGAGTACAAGGATGGAAAAAGGTCTTTTAAGGGAAGATCTCCAACCCAAATGTCCTCCCAAAACTGAATATAATTACTAGAACAAGCACCATACCTGACACAACTGAGAAACTACGGAAGAATTTTGTGAATTGCTTTCCATGGTGTTGCTAGGTTAGCCCTCCTTGAAGCACCAGCATCCCATCCACTCTTTGAGCATCCATGAATACTCTTCACCACTTCCCTGACAAAGCCAAATTCTTTTTAAGTACATTCCCAATCCCCAATCCTCCTTCCTCTTTGCTTCTACTCACAACCTCCCAACTAATTAAGTGGTCTTTTTTACTTTCTCCCGGTTCCCAAGGAAAATCTCTCATCAATTTTTCCAATTTCTTCGCTTCCCTAGATGGTATCCTAAAGACAAAGAGGTAGTAAGTAGGTAAGTTCGTGAGGGTAGCTCTTAACAAGGTGATCCTCCCACCCAAAGAGATGTAATTTTTCTTCCACACAACTAATCTTTTTTCAAACTTTTCTATGACTGGGGTGGGTCCAGAACCTACTCTCCCTAGGGTGTGCCCCTAATGGCAGCCCTAAATAGGACAAAGGCCAAGTAGAAATGCAGCACTAAAGATAATCTACAATAACCTCAACCTCCTCAAAGTCCAGATTGACTCCAGCAATGCAGCTCTTTTCTAAATTTATTTTCAAATTGGACACTCCTTCAAAGTCTTTAATCATTTCTTTCAAGTTTCCCACCTTCTCACTAAAATCTCCATCACAGAAGATCATCAAGTCATCCGAAAACTGCATATGAGTTACTAGAATTTGGTTTGTGCCTATTTTCCATTCCCTTATCATATCTTCTTACTTCCACTAGCACATTCCACCTGCACCCAAACATCAAGAAATGCCAATCTCAAATCTCTTAGTAAAGGAACAGGAGATTAGTAAATGGTAACAATCCTCACTACGACGCCTGCAAAAGATACACCAGTTAGGTGAAAGATAAAGGGAAGGTCTTCTGTCTTCTCTTTAATTTGTAGATTATCCAAGGTGTTTACTTTCCCATAATACACTTCCCAATAGAAAGCCATAACCTTAGGGGGAATAGGCCTGTACCAAACTTCCTAACAGGGAAAACCTACTGAGAGTGAGACTAGCAAAGGGACTTGAAGAAAGGAGCACAAAAGAACGACCCTTTAGGTTGTAGGGTCCAAATTCGTTTGTTTGGTTCAAAGGGACCCAAACAGACTTTATCAAGAAGGCTCAATAAATTGGATAAACACTCAATCTCTTCATCCCTTAAACCTCTACGAACCCAAAATCCCAATTTGGTGCCAAGGGAGTTTCTAGTGGTGGAGAAAATTTTTGAAACAAACTAATTTTTTGTACTGAGAGATAGAGGATAAATAAGGGAAAAGGTCCATCAAGAGAATATCCCCAACCCAAATATCCTCCCAAAAGAGGACAAATTGCCAACACACACACACATCATACCTAATAAAGCTGAAAAACTAAGGATACTGTGAATTGCCTTCCAAGGTGTTTACTAGATTTGCTCACTGTGATACAGCAGCATCCCATCCATTCTCTAACCGACCATGAATGCTTCCTACCACCTCATGCCAAAACCTCTCCCTCTCTCCAAGGGCCACTGCCACAACCACTTCCCCAACAAAGTTGTATTCTTGTGAATTAAATTTCCTAAGCCCAGCGCCCAGGTCCCCTTCTTCTTTACTCCAACATACCACCTCCCACTTAATTAAGTGGTCCTTTCTACTTTCCCTTGGTTCCTAAAGAAAGTCTTTCATTAACTTCTCCAACTTCTTGGATTCCCTAGTTGGGATACTAAAGATAGACAAGAAGTAGGTTGGTGGATTAGCAAGTGTGGCTCTTATCAAAGTGATTCTACCCCCCAACAAAATATAATTCTGTTTCCACAAGGCCAATCTCTTCTCAATTTTTTCTACAAATGGGCACCAAAAACTACTCTCCCTAGGGTTAGCCCTAGATAGGTCATGGGCCAAGTTGAGATAGAACACTCTAAACACTCTGCAAGAGCCTCCACCACCCTAACCTCCAAAATAATATGTGATATACAATTGTTTTCAAGATTGATTCTCAAATTGGAGATACTTTCAAAGTTTCTAATGAATACCTTCAGATATCTCACCTTCTCAAGATCACTCCCCTCACAGAGAACTAATATGTCATCTGCAACCATTCCCTACTTCCATCCATGGAGATATTTCACACAATCACATTGAGAGACGGACAAATTATCAATTCAAGGAGATGAATGGTCTAGATGTTGAGTTAAATTTACAAAATAGTATAAATTTATATTATAATTCTTGGTTGATAAACTTTGACAAATGTCAATCATCAATGACAACAAAAAATAGAACAATGAAACAACAACTACCAGTAACTATAAAACAGGATAAAGATGCAGTGACCTAGATTTTGAACCAATCCTGTCAACTTATCTACATACATACCAACCACAACAAACTTGTCCAAGCCCCAAAGAGTAGTAGTGGGGGTTATAGTAAAGTGTTTAAGGCACTCATCAGTTCCATGCCATGACAGTTTTATCCTAACACTTTCTGCTTCAAGCCCCTCACCAAAGTTAACCAACGATGGAAAAAGAACAATTTAGAAYAGAAATAGAAAAGTTAGTACTTAAGATAAGATAATGAAGAGGATGGACTAAATTACAACGCCAAATAGGAGGTAAGCTGGATATAAGCCTAATTGAATTCACTATGCAGCACAGCTTCAGGTTTATCCTGCCACCATAACCCAAGCTTAAGCTTCCAATTCAACCTTAGCTAGGTTTCCAGATCAAAACTCAAACCCATAATACAGAGAATTGGTTTATCGTAATACAGAACTCAAAAACTTCACAACCAAATTTCTAAAAGTATTAGAAAAATGAAAAGATTTTTTTTTATTAGCAACACAAAATTGATTCATTAGATTAAAAAACAAAGCCCACCCAGAAATTATTCACTATTTACAGAATTGCCCAGAACATAGATCGTCTTTGAGTTCCTTGCTTTGCCAGACTATCAGCCAAACTGTTTGCAGACCTCCTTATCCATCTTATTTGGATCATCATAAAAATGAAAATAATCACTTTGCATGTCTCGACAAATATCTTGTGTTCTATATGTGATTACCCTATATAGCTTTTCCACTCCATTTGAAGTTGGGATGCAATGCACCAATTCAAATACAACATCCTCGTAACAAAAAAAAAAAAAAAATTGCTTACTGTTTCAAAACAGTTTTGAACTCTATGTGAGAATGAGAGAGGAAGGAGAAGTGGATAGATAAAGTTCAAGTTGAGCAACAGCAATGGCAACAATGTAAAAGGAAAATGAGAGTAAAGAAAGTGAAAACCCACCTTCATGTTCCCAGTGAAAGCTCCGGGGGTGGCCGTCATTTCTCCTCCAAGCTTTCAATCAACGCTCACACAGCTATCAATCAACGCAGTCTTTGGTGGACCTGCAACGTGATACAGATGGTAAGATTATTATGTTCCAATGCATCATGCGTGGCCTTCTAAGGTAAGAGAATATCAACTAACCACAGTATCAACTATGGACTAAGACCCTGGGATAAGATATTTTTAGGGTAAGACAATGATATTAGTATTTTTTTCTCACAGATAAGTGAGTAATTTACGTATAATGCTTAGGAAGACTAATTTCTTTAATACGAACGAACACTAACTGATTTTTAAAGTCAGAGAATATCAACTAACCAGAGTGCCAACTATGGAATGAAACCCTATGATATGATATTTTCTGGGCATTCAACGGTCTCAAGTAATAGAGATTAATGGGGAATGGATTATGATGATGTACAATCCGGTCGATCTTAGCTGTCAACGATCTTGCCTCTGAACCGGGTGGTAGGGACCTGAAATGGAGGGAGAAGAGAAGCTTCGGGGAGAACTCGGCGTAAGGGCTCCGAAGCTCAAGTTAGCGTCTTTCAAAGGCAAGATAGACCAGATAGCACAAAAGTTAGCATACCTCGTTTCTGGGGGGTAGGAGCCTTTTATAACCACCTCGCGCACTCACTTCCAGGCTTCCGTCAGATCGGGTATGATTACTTCTGAACCCCTGCCAGTTCGGATGTCATTTCCTCTGGCCGGACAGAACCGCCACTGCTCCTTTTGTCGGAGCCGTCTCTGTGGCTAGTAACGACAGTGGCAGGTGGTGGTAGCAGGAGGCCATTTGAAGTGCGGCTGTCAGGCGTCATATCCCAAATCAGTCAGGTGCGTCGCCCTTGGATACGGACGTCCTTGGCGTCAGGTACGTTTGGTCAGCCTGGTGTTTCGGAAGCGAAGTGTTGGAGTGAGCGGGATGTCTTGAGTTCGGTTTGGGGAGTGTTCCGAGCTGCCATGGGCCAGCTCGGGTCACA